TCTCACTAGAGACTCACTCTGTACAACCTCACTAGAGACTCACTCTGTACAACCTCACTAGAGACTCACTCTGTACAGCTTCACTAGAGACTCACTCTGTACAACCTCACTAGAGACTCACTCTGTACAGTCTCACTAGAGACTCACTCTGTACAACCTCACTAGAGACTCTGTACAGTCTCACTAGAGACTCACTCTGTACAACCTCACTAGAGACTCACTCTGTACAGTCTCACTAGAGACTCACTCTGTACAGACTCACTAGAGACTCACTCTGTACAGTCTCACTAGAGACTCACTCTGTACAACTCACTAGAGACTCACTCTGTACAAGCTCACTAGAGACTCACTCTGTACAGCCTCACTAAAGACCCACTCTGTACAACCTCACTAGAGACTCACTCTGTACAACCTCACTAGAGACTCACTTTGTACAGTCTCACTAGAGACTCACTCTGTACAGTCTCACTAGAGACTCACTCTGTACAACCTCACTAGAGACTCACTCTGTACAGTCCTCACTAGAGACTCACTCTGTACAACCTCACTAGAGACTCACTCTGTGCAGTCTCACTAGAGACTCACTCTGTACAACCTCACTAGAGACTCACTCTGTACAGTCTCACTAGAGACTCACTCTGTACACACTCACTAGAGACTCACTCTGTACAGTCTCACTAGAGACTCACTCTGTACAGTCTCACTAGAGACTCACTCTGTACAACCTCACTAGAGACTCACTCTGTACAGTCTCACTAGAGACTCACTCTGTACAACCTCACTAGAGACTCACTCTGTACAGTCTCACTAGAGACCCACTCTGCACAGCCTCACTAGAGACTCACTCTGTACAGTCTCACTAGAGACTCACTCTGTACAACCTCACTAGAGACTAACTCTGTACAGTCTCCTAGAGACTCACTCTGTACAACCTCACTAAGACTCACTCTGTAACAGTCTCACTAGAGACTCACTCTGTACAGTCCTCACTAGAGACTCACTCTGTACAACCTCACTAGAGACTCACTCTGTACAGTCTCACTAGAGACTCACTCTGTACAACCTCACTAGAGACTCACTCTGTACAGTCTCACTAGAGACCCACTCTGCACAGCCTCACTAGAGACTCACTCTGTACAGTCTCACTAGAGACTCACTCTGTACAACCTCACTAGAGACTCACTCTGTACAGCCTCACTAGAGACTCACTCTGTACAACCTCACTAGAGACTCACTCTGTACAGTCTCACTAGATGACTAGAGACTCACTCTGTACAGTCTCACTAGAGACTCACTCTGTACAGTCTCACTAGATACTCACTCTGTACAACCTCACTAGAGACTCACTCTGTACAACCTCACTAGAGACTCACTCTGTACAGTCTCACTAGAGACTCACTCTGTACAGTCTCACTAGAGACTCACTCTGTACAGTCTCACTAGAGACTCACTCTGTACAACCTCACTAGAGACTCACTCTGTACAGTCTCACTAGAGACTCACTCTGTACACTCTCACTAGAGACTCACTCTGTACAGTCTCACTAGAGACTCACTCTGTACAACCTCACTAGAGACTCACTCTGTACAGTCTCACTAGAGACTCACTCTGTACAGTCTTACTAGAGACTCACTCTGTACAACCTCACTAGAGACTCACTCTGTACAGTCTCACTAGAGACTCACTCTGTACAACCTCACTAGAGACTCACTCTGTACAACCTCACTAGAGACTCACTCTGTACAGTCTCACTAGAGACTCACTCTGTACAACCTCACTAGAGACTCACTCTGTACAGCCTCACTAGAGACTCACTCTGTACAACCTCACTAGAGACTCACTCTGTACAACCTCACTAGAGACTCACTCTGTACAGTCTCACTAGAGACTCACTCTGTACAAACCTCACTAGAGACTCTGTACAGTCTCACTAGAGACTCACTCTGTACAACCTCACTAGAGACCTCACTCTACAACCTCACTAGAGACTCACTCTGTACAGTCTCACTAGAGACTCACTCTGTACAGTCTCACTAGAGACTCACTCTGTACAGTCTCACTAGAGACTCACTCTGTACAACCTCACTAGAGACTAACTCTGTACAGTCTCACTAGAGACTCACTCTGTACAGTCTCACTAGAGACTCACTCTGTACAACCTCACTAGAGACTCACTCTGTACAGCCTCACTAGAGACTCACTCTGTACAACCTCACTAGAGACTCTGTACAGTCTCACTAGAGACTCACTCTGTACAACCTCACTAGAGACTCACTCTGTACAACCTCACTAGAGACTCACTCTGTACACCTCACTAGAGACTCACTCTGTACAACCTCACTAGAGACTCACTCTGTACAACCTCACTAGAGACTCACTCTGTACAAGTCTCACTAGAGACTCACTCTGTACAACCTCACTAGAGACTCTGTACAGTCTCACTAGAGACTCACTCTGTACAACCTCACTAGAGACTCACTCTGTACAACCTCACTAGAGACTCACTCTGTACAGTCTCACTAGAGACTCACTCTGTACAACCTCACTAGAGACTCTGTACAGTCTCACTAGAGACTCACTCTGTACAACCTCACTAGAGACTCACTCTGTACAACCTCACTAGAGACTCACTCTGTACAGTCTCACTAGAGACTCACTCTGTACAACCTCACTAGAGACTCACTCTGTACAGTCTCACTAGAGACTCACTCTGTACAGTCTCACTAGAGACTCACTCTGTACAACCTCACTAGAGACTCACTCTGTACAGTCTCACTAGAGACTCACTCTATACAACCTCACTAGAGACTCACTCTGTACAACCTCACTAGAGACTCACTCTGTACAGTCTCACTAGAGACTCACTCTATACAACCTCACTAGAGACTCACTCTGTACAACCTCACTAGAGGCTCACTCTGTACAACCTCACTAGAGACTCACTCTGTACAACCTCACTAGAGACTCACTCTGTACAGTCTCACTAGAGACTCACTCTGTACAACCTCACAACGTCTGTGTGATTTAAAGCTTGCGTGACTGCAGTGATTCATATTCTTGGTTCTTTCGGTAAAGTCACGTAGAATGAGAATACAATAATAAAATAAAACAATAAAATTCTCACGACGTTTCGGCCACAACACAAGTAGGACGGCCACCGCTGAGTCACTGATGTTTACGCACTTTTGTTTGATTAACCACCTTTCGCATCTCATAATAAAAAATTAAATGTAAAACTTGCCTGATGCACCCTATAACCAGTTCAAATGTTGTGACAGTTGCGCATCAAGGGCGTGTCTGGGCGTGGCTTAAGTGTCAGGCATTGCCGCGCCCCTTTCCTGGTTAGCTCCTCCCACACATCAGGGTTGTGGCTGAGACCTGGATTCAAACCCAGGCGTGAGCGGTGTCGGCTGATCGTCTCCGTCCCGGCCATTGTGAACTCCACGAACTATGTCGCCACCTCGTGGTGAGATACTTAAAATAAAAGTCTAAATGTGAAGAGCGGTGGTGCGCACGGCACTACGAACTCGGTGACCTGATCTGAATTATTGACCACGACAAACATCAGTGGTGTAACTTGAACCAGAAATTCACTTGTATCGAGATCTACTGGCACTGTGATCTGGTGGCACTGAGATTTGGTTGCAGTGTGATCTGGTGCTACTAAGATCTGGTGGCACTGAGATCTGGTGGCATTGAGATCTGGTGGCACTGTGATCTGGTGGAATTGATCTGGTGGCACTGTGATCTGGTGGCACTGTGATCTGGTGGCACTGTGATCTGGTGGCACTGTGATCTGGTGGCACTGAGATCTGGTGGCACTGAGATCTGGTGGCACTGTGATCTGGTGGCACTGTGATCTGGTGGCACTGAGATCTGGTGGCATTGAGATCTCGTGGCACTGTGATCTGGTGGCACTGAGATCTGGTGGCACTGAGATCTGGTGGAATTGATCTGGTGGCACTGTGATCTGGTGGCACTGTGATCTGGTGGCACTGTGATCTGGTGGCACTGTGATCTGGTGGCACTGAGATCTGGTGGCATTGAGATCTGGTGGCACCGAGATCTGGTGGCACTGAGATCTGGTGGCACTGTGATCTGGTGGCACTGTGATCTGGTGGCACTGAGATCTGGTGGCAGTGAGATCTGGTGGCACTAAGATCTAGTGGCAGTGTGTGATCTGGTGGTACTAAGATCTGGTAGCACTGAGATCTGGTGGCACTGAGATCTGGTGGCACTGAGAAACTGTACAGTGTTGATAGATCGAATACTGACTGAGACATTTTCCTAGGTTTGATCTGTGGTGGTAAAAGTGGCAGCCCTGATTGGGATGTTTGGTAATGAATTCCAGAGTTTGGCCTTCATACGCGCTCGCTAACAGCATTTGCAACCATCAGTCCGTGAATGCTATTCTTGGGATTTTTGTCTTCGTTCGAGGTGTGTGAGTGACTGAGTGTGCGTACATTTGTCGTTTTTGTGGGAGCGTCAGTGAGAATGGGCTGTAGGACAACGCGATTTCATACCAGCCTTTCTACATTCACATTGCCATCGCTGCACAGGGGTATATAAAGTACAGCACGTAAAAGCGTGAAATAATGTGTGTGTGTAGGCAAAACCGGAAATTATACAAAAACGCCGTCAAAAGTTACACAAAAAAAAGATAATGTCAGCTGCCAAATGTGACCGCTCAGTGTGGGATGCGCGAAATAATACACAACACATGTTTTGTGTTTCGTCTTCAACAAAAATTGAACAGAGAAACGAATGAGAAACTCAACCACTCTCGCTCAGAGTTCGCCGTTGGTTGCTGATCCTGCTGCTGCCACATGTGCATCCACTTGGGCTGCCCCAAGGCAGCTTAACGGAACGGCAGTTATAAAAACATTTCCTCCCCACCCCCCCCCCCCCCCCCCAAAAAAAGAAAACGCTCGGCCCCCATTTGTGGAAGACACAAAAAAAACCACGCCACAGGAGTGAAACTCCCTCTTTTTTTCATTTCTTACAAAATTCACCCCGTCGGCCCCAATTCAAAGCATTTCCTCCCCAACTCCGTTACAGCTCCTCGAGAATTCCTGCTGAGCATTCGTCCGCAAAGCACTCCGCACGCGACGCACGCAACGCACCGCACCGCACCGCGCGCTTCAACGTTTGAGAATCGCAATTTTATTTTCGTGGTTTTGTGAACACATTTCTTTTGAGAGTAGTGTTTGAACGGCTCCACAAAGCGAGGCGGGAATTAACGTTCATCGCCGATCCCATCTTGGTGCCCAATTCCACTTCTGCGTGCTGGACTTTGGTGAGGTGGCGACAACCGGTAGGTAAGTCTCCTCCAAACCACAACACCACCCTCTAGAATTGTTATTTGTTCAAACGTTTCACCCAGAACATTTACTTGAGATGAAACATCTCATTTGCAAAGTTTAGGGGTGGTCCACGGTGTTTATTGACAACCTTTGAATCCAATCCTCTCCGATCACAATACGATATTAATCATAATCTTTGTGGATATTGTTAACAAAATTAAAAAGCAGATGATACGCCTCCATCAAATGCCTGTGTCTCCACATCTCAGCAGCCACACGCCCTTCTGGGAGAGCATCGTTTCATCAGCATTGGTCCAACACAAGCAACGCTTTGGATCAATCGGTGTCGACATTCAATGTCTCATCAGCAGTGTTGAACCGGTGCTGGTGAACTGCCGGATGTCTAGAAGCAAGGGCCCTCTCTGTTAGACAAGGCAGTTCATTTTCAGTTTAACTTGAACGTGTGTTTATGTACGTGTATGTATGTATGGTGAACTTTTTTCGCACCGTCCATAGCCACCCTGGCTGACCGGAGATGCGGCTGTGACGCGTGCCACAACTTTGGATTTTTATTTGCAACGATGGCCAAATCAGCCAAAAAACGCCTGGTCCAGACGGATCTCAGAATCAAAGCAGAGATTTAAGTCTTGGTGGGGGACCGCCATGCATAAAACAACAAGTAATATAGGCTTAAGCTGGGGCTCCGTGGTGGGCAGCTCCATTGTCCCTACGTTCACCAACTAGCACTGACCAGTGTGGTGAAGTATGATCAAATAACCCTCGGGACCCGCATGGCTTTGCAAGGCCTCCATTCAGGAGTAGATTGACGAGTTACCGTTACTATGATAATTGGGTATATTTGGTATTTGCGCCGTTCCTATGGCAGCAGTGCCACCAGGAAGCCAGTCGATGTTTCACAGATGAATATAGTCTGCAAGTAAGGGGAGTGGGTGAGTTTTGTGCCTTTCACAAAACGACGCGACTTGTGGTGTCAAAAGAAGATAAAAAATATATATTTATAAACTTTTTTTTACATGTTATGTTTTGGCTTGGGTCTCATTGTCCACGATGAACTGACGTTGGCTGTAATTGGCCACGGTCCCCTTACGTTGTGGCAAGCTTCGGGGCCACTTCCTGGGGTCGTGGAGTTCTGCCATTACTCGTACATGTCATAAAAGCGTGTTTAAAAAAAAGTTTAAAAAATATTGTTGTTGTTGTCTTCCCAATGACGTCAAGGGAGAGAGTGTTTATCACGTCTGCTGCCTGTGAACTAGACGGCGCGTGGCGTCTATTGTTGTGGTTAAACAGACGGCGCGGTATTCACCAGGAGCGGCTGCTAGCGCCGGACCCGGTTGCCGATCGACCGTGTCGGTTGTTACATAAGGCAGAGAGAGAGGGAGGGAGGCAGAAAGGAAGGAAATTATTGCACGAGGGCCGAGAGATGTCTGTGGACGCGCCTGTCTCGATTCGAGGCCAGATCCCGTAGCCAAGTGTCCCAATTACAGCCCGCGTGTCCGCCGAGGTTGCGTTTTTTTCCCCTCTCGTTTTGTCGGATGCAGTCTGGGCAGAGCGTGGTCCCGAGGCGGAACACCGAGTAAGGTCAGCGGGGCCGGCGTTTGTAGAGGGACTGGGAATTGGAGTTTGAGTTCCATCGGCAAGGAATTGAATCGTCCCTGGAATCTGGCGCCAGCGTTGTGTTCTGTTACACTCCATTGCAGTTTTGTTTTTACACACACACAAATACAAAGAGCCCCCGTATAGAGCCCCCGTATAGCCTTAACATACTGTTGGGGCAAGTGCTGTTAGCGAGTAGCACCTATGAAGGCCGGATTTGTCCTGGCCTGTTGAAGGCATCACAAACCTTGACCAGGTGCGGGTGCCTCTGCGATAGCAAACGGAGAGAGCATGCACGGCGTCTGCGCAGGACCGACCTGTTCTAATAACTACACATCGGGCTTGGCATGGAGATGTTTAATGATCCTCGCCAGGACATTTCCTGGCACGCCGAGGAGGGAGATGCCCCGGCAGTTGTTGAAATCAGTGCGGGTGTCCACCAGGGCATCTCTCCAATCCTGCGGAACCAATCCTCCTGGTCCAGACCTCTGGGGGTAGCCTGCACACAAAAAAGACAAAGATCCCCCGTATAGCCTTAACAGACTGTAGGGGCAAGTGCTGTTAGGCCGGAACGGTACACGGGGGGGTGGGTGGTCAGCAGCACGCCCGACCGCCTTTGTCTCCCCAGTGGCGATGTTTTCACACCGCACCAGGTACTCATTTCCGGCTGAGTCGACTTAGGGGAGGCCCAGGACCGGTTCAGATAATCGTCACTGGTGTTGGCCGTGAGCGGGAATCGAACCCGGGTCGCCAGGTTCGTAGCGCAGCGCGCTAACAGCAACACCACCGCTCCCCACTATACAAACACACACACAGCCACACACACATGCAGGCAAAGCACAGATTCACATGGACACGCGCATAGACACCCACACACACACGCGCGCGCGCGCACAAACACACGGAGGCTTACACTGAGACAAGCAGACACATGCCCACACACGCAACAACAAACGACATTCGCCACTAAGTGGCGGTGACGCCTCGGAGACGCTCGTGCCAGGCTATGTGCACGTTGAGGCCACGTGAAGTGTCGAACGCCCGCTGGCAGGAGGTCACGGGGGCAGACCCAGCAGGTGCCACGGGTCGACTCACAGAGATGGCACGCAACTGCCACTAAGTGACATGGCCACTAAGCGGCAGTGCCGTCTCATCGCTGAGGTCAACCTCTAGGCCACGTCGCGAATGGACAAACCAGCCCAAGTTGAGAGAGAGGAGCACAGCGCGTGGGATCTCAGGGACCACAGCGAGTGGGATCTCAGGGACCACAGCGGGTGGGATCTCATGGACCACAGCGAGTGGGATCTCAGGGACCACAGCGAGTGGGATCTCAGGGACCACAGCGAGTGGGATCTCAGGGACCACAGCAAGTGGGATCTCAGGGACCACAGCGAGTGGGATCTCAGGGACCACAGCGAGTGGGATCTCAGGGACCACAGCGAGTGGGATCTCAGGGACCACAGCGAGTGGGATCTCAGGGACCACAGCGAGTGGGGTCTCAGGGACCACAGCGAGTGGGATCTCATGGACCACAGCGAGTGGGATCTCAGGGACCACAGCGAGTGGGATCTCAGGGACCACAGCGGGTGGGATCTCATGGACCACAGCGAGTGGGATCTCAGGGACCACAGCGAGTGGGATCTCAGGGACCACAGCGAGTGGGATCTCAGGGACCACAGCGAGTGGGATCTCAGGGACCACAGCGAGTGGGATCTCAGGGAACACAGCGAGTGGGATCTCAGGGACCACAGCGAGTGGGATCTCAGGGACCACAGCGAGTGGGATCTCAGGGAGCACAGCGAGTGGGATCTCAGGGACCACAGCGGGTGGGATCTCAGGGACCAGAGCGAGTGGGATCTCTGGGTGGACAGCGAGTGAGATCTCTGGGACCACAGCGAGTGGGATCTCAGGGACCACAGCGAGTGGGATCTCAGGGACCACAGCGAGTGGGATCTCAGGGACCACAGCGAGTGGGATCTCAGGGACCACAGCGAGTGGGATCTCATGGAGCACAGCGAGTGGGATCTCATGGAGCACAGCGAGTGGGATATCTGGGACCACAGCGAGTGGGATCTCTGGGACCACAGCGAGTGGGATCTCAGGGACCACAGCGAGTGGGATCTCATGGAGCACAGCGAGTGGGATCTCATGGAGCACAGCGAGTGGGATCTTAGGGACCACAGCGAGTGGGATCTCAGGGACCACAGCGAGTGGGATCTTAGGGAGCACAGCGAGTGGGATCTCAGGGACCACAGCGAGTGGGATCTCATGGAGCACAGCGAGTGGGATCTCTGGGTGGACAGCGAGTGAGATCTCATGGACCACAGCGAGTGGGATCTCATGGACCACAGCGAGTGGGATCTCAGGGACCACAGCGAGTGGGATCTCAGGGACCACAGCGAGTGGGATCTCAGTGAGCACAGCGAGTGGGATCTCATGGAGCACAGCGAGTGAGATCTCAGGGAGCACAGCGAGTGGGATCTCAGGGACCAAAGCGAGTGGGATCTCAGGGATCACAGCGAGTGAGATCTCAGGGACCACAGCGAGTGGGATCTCAGGGACCACAGCAAGTGGGATCTTAGGGACCACAGCGAGTGGGATCTCAGGGACCACAGCGAGTGGGATCTCAAGGACCACAGCGAGTGGGATCTCATGGAGCACAGCAAGTGGGATCTCAGGGACCACAGCGAGTGGGATCTCAGGGACCACAGCAAGTTGGATCTCAAGGACCACAGCAAGTGGGATCTCAGGGACCACAGCGAGTGCGATCTCAGGGACCACAGCGAGTGGGATCTCAAGGACCACAGCGAGTGGGATCTCATGGAGCACAGCGAGTGGGATCTCAGGGACCACAGCGAGTGGGATCTCAGGGACCACAGCGAGTGGGATCTCAGGGACCACAACGAGTGGGATCTCAGGGACCACAGCGAGTGGGATCTCAGGGACGACACCGAGTAGGATCTCAAGGACCACAGCGAGTGGGATCTCATGGAGCACAGCGAGTGGGATCTCAGGGACCACAGCGAGTGGGATCTCAAGGACCACAGCGAGTGGGATCTCAGGGACCACAGTGAGTGGGATCTCAGGAACGACAGCGAGTGGGATCCCAAGGACCACAGCGAGTGGGATCTCATGGAGCACAGCGAGTGGGATCTCAGGGACCACAGCGAGTGGGATCTCAGGGAGCACAGCGAGTGGGATCTCAGGGACCACAGCGAGTGGGATCTCAGGGACCACAGCGAGTGAGATCTTATGGAGCACAGCAAGTGGGATCTCAGGGCCCACAGTGAGTGGGATCTCAGGGAGTGGAGCAAATCGGTTAAGAGTCTGGAATGTTCAAAGGGCTCAACACAATTGAGAATCGGAATCGTTATTTATACTGCAGGAGGAATCCGATGAGCTATGAAGCTCTTTATCAACAGATGTCCATTATGGGCGTGCCGAGGTGTGGTTACGTGGGCCCTGTGACGAGCGCGTTCGTGTGGGGGGGGGGGGGCTCACCCGGAAGTGGATTCATAAAATTTGGCGAGAAAATCTGAGCGTGCGTCAAGTTTGATTTGGCGCTCAAGTGTCGTTTCCGGGAGGGTGCCGCTGCCTTTGGGCTGTCAGAGCCATGAATTCCATGAACAATCCAACATATGCATGTTTTTAAATATTTGAAGGTGAGATTTGGGCCCCTGTCTTAGGAAGGTGGAATGTCCGCCACTTGCTCAGGGCCATTGGGTCGTTTGAGCTTGTAGACACTTTGACATTTGACCCCTTTGATGGAGCGCGTAGAAAATACGGCATGATGGTTACGCTGCGGAACAGAATTGGGAAGGAGGGGACGTATCTGCTAACGTTTCCGCTTGTGCTGCATTCTCCACAGCGATGCTATTGGTTGTTTTGTGTCGTGCATCGCTTCGTTTCACGACGACCAGGTGCCCGTATCTAACCGAGATGGTTCTTGGCCCACACACGTCTGACAGTTCACGAGCATCGATTCAAGCAACTCCGCCCCTGCCGGTGATACACAATTGTAGTGCCAACGATTCAGAGACCAAGAGTTTCGAGGAGAGCACTTTCTTTATTCACAACTTTCACGGTCTCGTCCTCACACGCTCCACAGTAGCTCAGCCTCGCCTGTACACGGCGCCGGCCGTCTAACACGGACGGCGCTGACTGAGATGGCCGACTACTCTCTTCCGTAGCGCAACATCTAGCGGAGAATTTTTCAGAATTTTTATTGTTTTATATATATTTTATTATTTTGTTGTTTCCCTTCAACGTGACTTTACCGAAAGAACTAAGAATATGAATTACTGCAGTCACGAAAGCTTTAAATCAAAATCTAGCGGAGACTTCACCAACGACGAGACGGGTCTATTCCCAGAACCGGCAGCCTCGAGCCCCACGCTCACGGCTCCTTTTATGCTCCCAGCCCTGGCCCTGGCCCCCCGCCTGACCGCGCCTCCCTTCTCGAACCCGCCAGCCCGGTTCCTCCCTCTCCGCACGTGCACGCGACGAATGTTGGGCTTATTGGGCATCGTACGTAGGCGTCCGTGCTAATCGGAGGTGTCGAAATTGGTTCAGAGTTTTGCTTGCGTTGAGAAGCAATCCCGGTTGATGGGGAGCGATGTGAGGACGGGCGTTGTCTGCTGATTTACATTCTCAATGTCGGACAAATCGATGATTTATGACAATAATGAGTGGGTGATGGGCGTGCCAACTTATCGACGCCGTCACACACTCCTCTCCTCACTCACTCGTCCACTTCCCTCAACACGCGCCCACTCACCCATCTACACACGCCATCACGCACACACTCACCCACTCAAACAGGCCACGCTCACTCATCTCCACACTCACCCATGCCACCTCAAGACCCCTCCCCCAACATACCCACGCACCCGCCCACTCGTTCAACCGCACACTCACACACGCACCTCCACACATCCACACACACATTGAGCCATACTCGCCCAAAGACAAAGTCGCCCGTATAGCCTGAACAGACTGTTGGGGCAAGTGCTGCTATTAAGGCCGGCACGTCACACGAGGGGGTGGGTGGCCAGCACCAGGTGCGATCGCCTTTGTCTCCCCAGTGGGACTGACTTTACACGCCGCACCAGGCACTCATTTGAGGCTGAGTCGACCTGGGGGAGGCCCATGACCGGTTCCAATAATCGTCACTGGTGTTGGCCGTGCGATGGGAATCCAACTCGGTTCACCGGGTTCATAGCGCAGCACGCGAACCGCTACACTCACCCCACTCACTCCAAACACACTCCACACACTCCACACACACACTCACCCCACATACACACTCACCCCACTCACTCACTCACTCCAAACACTCACCCCACACGCTCACACACACCCCACTCACTCACTCCACACACACACACACCCCACTCACCCCACTCACCCCACTTACCCCACTCACCCCCACACACTCACACTCACCCCACTCACCCCACTCACCCTACTCACTCACCCCACTCACTCACCCCACTCACACTCATTCACCCCACTCACTCACCCCACTCACACACTCACCCCACTCACTCCCACACACTCACCCCACTCACCCCACACACACTCACTCACCTCACCCCACTCACCCCACTCACTCACCCCACTCACCCCACTCACTCACCCCACTCACCCCACTCACTCCCACACACTCACCCCACTAACCCCACTCACTCCACTCACCCCACACACTCACCCCACTCACTCCACACACTCACCCCGACACACTCACCCCACTCACTCACCCCACTCCCACACACTCACCCCACTCACTCCACACACTCAACCCACTCACCCCACTCACTCCCACACACTCACCCCACTCCCACACACTCACCCCACTCACCCCCACACACTCACTCCACTCACCTCCACACACTAACCCCACTCACTCACCCCACTCACACCCACACACTCACCCCACTCACCCCCATACACTCACCCCACTCACCCTCACACACACACTCACCGCACTCACCCCACTCACTCCCACACACTCACCCCACTCACCCAACTCACCCCCACACACTCACCCCACTCACCCCCACACACTCACCCCACTCACCCCCACACACTCACCCCACTCACCCCCACACACTCACCCCACTCACTCACTCCCACACACTCACCCCACTCACCCCCACACGCACACTCACCCCACATACACACTCACCCCACTCACTCACTCCCACACACTCACCCCACTTCCACACACTCACCCCATTCACCCCCACATACACACTCACCCCACTCACCCCCACACACTCACCCTACACACTCCCACACACTCACTCCACTCGCCCCCACACACACACTCACCCCACTCACCTCCACACACTCACCCCACTCACTCACCCCCACACACTCACCCCACTCACCCCCACACACTCACCCCACTCACTCACCCCCACACACTCACCCCACTCACCCCCACACACTCACCCCACTCACTCCACCCCACACACTCACCTCACTCACCTCCACACACTCACTCCGCTCACTCCCACACGCATACTCACCTCACTCACTCCCACTCACTCACCCCACTCACTCACTCCCACACACTCACCCCACTCACTCCACTCCCACACACGCACGAATCCACTCCGTTTGCTCGCCCCTCCCTGGCACCATCGTGTCTGCTCGTGACCCCTCCTCTCTCCCTCCTCGCTCCCTCCTCATCCCTCGCTCGCTCCCTCCAAGCCCGGCATCCCAGAGGACCAGCGGGCCGTGTGGCATAGCAGCAGATTCAGCGGCAGTGGGATAGAGCGTGGGACTGCGCTCGGCCTGGGGTCGCCACCTGTGGACCAATACCGGGACGTGGCGAGATGTTAACTCCCTCGCCTGGTATGCACGAGGTCGTAGGTTCGATCCCGATCCTGACGCTGGCTGTATTTTTGGAGTCTGCGTGTCTCTCTCTCATCATCATCACGGTGGCTAGGAGATGTTAACTACCTCGCCTGGTGTACAGGAGGGCGTGGGTTCGACCCGGACCCTGACGCCTGCTGCTGCTGTATATTTCGAGTTTGCATGTGCCTCTCCTCCCCGTGGTCGCGTCGATTTTTTCTCCGGGTCCTCTGATTTTTCCCTTCACGTTTAGAATCAACGTGACCACGCGTTTGCGGCTATTTGGCTGCTCTACATCTTCACACGATGACGAGCCACTTCGTGGGGCGACCATTCGTGGACAGGTCGCTTGTGAAACGGAGCTGTATAACTCAGTGGGCCTTACCTGGTAAAATAAAATAAAGTTGTTTCATAGTTGCCACATCTCGGGTACGACTCCTCCTCTAGGCTGACGGAGCATTCAACTTTGTGATCCCCCATCCCTCTGAATTAGAGGCGTTTGCCACCACCGCATAGCAAATACACACGAATACAGAAAGTGAACAAAACGCCTTACTAATAAGGAACACACGAATATAGAAAGTGAAAAACCGCCTTACTAATAAGGAACACACGAATACACAAAGTGAAAAACGCCTTACTAATAAGGGACACACGAATACACAAAGTGAAAAAACGCCTGACTAATAAGGGGCACACGAATACACAAAGTGAAAAAACGCCTTACTAATAAGGGACACACGAATACACAAAGTGAAAAAACGCCTTACTAACACAGATCGAAGCGTGGACACGTGATCTCTCCACGTGTATTACGCAAGGATACGGAGACTCTTTACGTGGAGGGACTGATGAAATGGTGGCTTCTTGTTTGCTTGTTTACTCAAATTCTTACTCACATTCTTACTCAAATTCTTACTCAAATTCTTACTCAAATTCTTACTCACATTCTTACTCATATTCTTACTCAAATTCTTACTCAAATTCTTACTCAAATTCTTACTCAAATTCTTACTCAAATTCTTACTCACATTCTTACTCACATTCTTACTTATATTCTTACTCAAATTCTTACTCACATTCTTACTCACATTCTTACTCATATTCTCACTCAAATTCTTACTCAAATTCTTACTCACATTCTTACTCAAATTCTTACTCAAATTCTTACTCACATTCTTACTCATATTTTTACTCAAATTCTTACTCAAATTCTTACTCACATTCTTACTCACATTCTTACTCATATTCTCACTCATATTCTTACTCATATTCTTACTCACATTCTTACTCATATTCTCACTCAAATTCTTACTCAAATTCTTACTCACATTCTTACTCAAATTCTTACTCAAATTCTTACTCACATTCTTACTCATATTCTTACTGAAATTCTTACTCAAATTCTTACTCACATTCTTACTCATATTCTTACTCACATTCTTACTCACATTCTTACTCAAATTCTTACTCACATTCTTACTCACATTCTTACTCACATTATTACTCACATTCTTACTCAAATTCTTACTCACATTCTTACTGACATTCTTACTCATATTCTTACTCACATTCTTACTCACATTCTTACTCACATTCTTACTAAAATTCTTACTCAAATTCTTACTCAGATTATTACTCATATTCTCACTCATATTCTTATTCACATTCTTATTCACATTCTTACTCAAATTCTTACTCACATTCTTACTCACATTCTTACTCACATTATTACTCACATTCTTACTCACATTCTTATTCACATTCTTACTCACATTCTTACTCAAATTCTTACTCACATTCTTACTCACATTCTTACTCACATTATTACTCACATTCTTACTCACATTCTTACTCATATTCTTACTCACATTCTTACTCACATTCTTACTCAAATTCTTACTCACATTCTTACTCATATTCTTACTCACATTCTTACTCACATTCTTACTCAAATTCTTACTCACATTATTACTCACATTCTTACTCACATTCTTACTCATATTCTTACTCACATTCTTACTCACATTCTTACTCAAATTCTTACTCACATTCTTACTCATATTCTTACTCACATTCTTACTCACATTCTTACTCAAATTCTTACTCACATTCTTACTCACATTCTTACTCAAATTCTTACTCAAATTCTCATTCAAATTCTTACTCACATTCTTACTCAAATTCTTACTCACATTCTTACTCAAATTCTTACTCACATTCTTACTCATATTATTACTCAAATTCTTACTCAAATTCTTACTCACATTCTTACTCACATTCTTACTCATATTCTCACTCATATTCTTACTCATATTCTTACTCACATTCTTACTCATATTCTCACTCAAATTCTTACTCAAATTCTTACTCACATTCTTACTCACATTCTTACTCAAATTCTTACTCACATTCTTACTCATATTCTTACTGAAATTCTTACTCAAATTCTTACTCACATTCTTACTCATATTCTTACTCACATTCTTACTCACATTCTTACTCAAATTCTTACTCACATTCTTACTCACATTCTTACTCACATTATTACTCACATTCTTACTCAAATTCTTACTCACATTCTTACTGACATTCTTACTCATATTCTTACTCACATTCTTACTCACATTCTTACTCACATTCTTACTAAAATTCTTACTCAAATTCTTACTCAGATTATTACTCATATTCTCACTCATATTATTACTCACATTCTTATTCACATTCTTACTCACATTCTTACTCAAATTCTTACTCAAATTCTAACTATTTTTTAATCAAATTCTTACCTGTACTCCTACTCACATTCTTACTCACATTATTACTCACATTATTACTCAAATTCTTACTCACATTCTTACTCACATTCTTACTCACATTATTTCTATTTTTTTTACTCAAAGTCTTACCTATACTCCTACTCACATTCTTGCTCACATTCTTACTCACATTCGTACTCATTATGTCATGATTACGCTTAAACTAAACGTTTTATTTTATTTTACCAGGTAAGGCCCACTTAGCTATGTTGCTCTTTCTTTTAGAAGCGACCTGGAGGACGAGGGGGGCGGGAGGAGGAGGAGGAGGGGGGTGGAGGAGGAGGGGGGTGGACAGCGCTGTTTGTGGGCCAGATGTGGCGAGTTCCAAACGGCTGAGGCCCCTTTTCGCTCGTGCCACATGTGGCAACGACTCGAGGCAACATTCAGCACTGTACGGACGATTTACGGCGTCCAACACAAACACGGACGTGCAAAATAAATACAATTCGTACAGTTCGCCTCCTTCAACAACAACGAAATCTGTCCCTGCACGCAACGAAAAACGCATTTTTATTTTTTACACATCCCATCACCCACACGGCCTTCTGAGGAGTGCACAATTTCAGCAGCGGCCTTGCGTACACAGTTATAACAACAACAGGCAATCTTGTTTTATAACTTATTAATGATCATGGTGATGCTGACAGGACACTGATGATGATAGTCCAATGCTAATGATAGAGGACTATGATGACGATTGACAGTGATGATGATGACGATGCCAATGACTGTGACGATAGCAACGACGAGGACAATGGAACTGACGACGACGAAGCTGATGATCACAATGACGCTGATGACGAGTGTCACCAATTAGCGTGCACACCGATGACGATACTGCTGCCGATGGTGATGATGCTGATGATGATTACGTGGCTGAGTTGAACCTGGCCTAGATTTGAACCCATGTGGCTCACGACTGGGAACACATCTGTCTCAGCAGCTGCACCTCGTGAATTCAACACAGACAGGAAGCAGCCTCCGACTCCCTCCCAATGCCCCCCTCTACCCCCCCCCCTCCTCGTCCCCCCCATCTCCCCCCTAATCCCCACCCCGAGAGAGGAGCGTCTGACCGTGATAGATCTCTGCCAAAACATTACCCATTCAAAAGCTACGGGTTTATTTGGGAGTCTATGGGTCTCTATACAAGTCTATGAGTCTCTGTGCAAGTCTATAGGTCTCTATGCAAATCTATGGGTCTCTATGCAAGTTTATGATTTTCTATGCAAGTCTATAGGTCTCTGTGCAAGTCTATGGGTCTCTGTGCAAGTCTATAGGTCTCTGTGCAAGTCTATAGATCTCTATGCAAGTCTATGGGTCTGTATACAAGTCTATGGGTCTCTGTGCAAGTCTATGGGTCTCTGTGCAAGTCTATAGATCTCTATGCAAGTCTTTGGGTCTGTATACAAGTCTATGGGTCTCTGTGCAAGTCTATGGGTCTCTGTTGGAGTCTGATTGTCTGTATTTGAGTATGCGGGTTTCTGTATCTCTATGCGAGTCTGTAGGTCTCTATGTGAATATTTGGGTCTCTGTGGAAATTGATGTGAGTCTATGGGTCTCGATGCAAGTCTATGGGTCTTTATGCGAGTCTTATTGTCTCTAATTGAGTATACGGGTCTCTGTATCTTTATGTGAGTCTGTGGGTCTTTGTGGAAGTTTATGTGAGTCTTATGGGTCACTATGTGAGTCTATGGGTCTATGTAGAAGCTCATGTGAGTCTATGAGTCTCTATGCATGTCTATGTGCATGTTAAGGCCACGCGAAGTGTCGAACGCCCGCCTGGCAGGAGGTCACGGGACGCACCCAGGTGCCATGGGTTGCTGATTTAGATGACTGGCCGAAGCACCACCTGTTCTCCCTACTGTGCCAACTTGCTGTGTTTTAGCCGCCTGGCGCTCCGCTCGTTGTTGTGAGCGTCGCTCCTCTGCACTCCTTCATTGCTGGAGGGCGACTGCCTCCAACTGCCCAGTGGCAGCGTCCTTCACGAGCCTCCTCCACAGAGGCCGATCTTGACACCGCTGGTACCAGTCATCGGCAAGTCCACTCAGCTCCACATCCTCTTGTACCACATCACTCCATCTCTTCTCACACTCACACACACAAAGATCCCCCACATAGCATGCACCGGTGGTTGGGGCAAGTGCTGTTAGTGAGCACCAACGAAAGGCACACGAGGGGGTG